ATACTTTTATTAAAACGAGTGTTGTGATGTAAGTGATTGTTCTGTGTCACGCATTTTGCTAGTGTGATTAAAAACGTGATATTTACAAGTTGAATTACTTTTCCTTTTTTTTATATATATATATATTCTATGCCCCAGACCAGGATTTTCTCCTGTGTCGTGGGTATGTTTACAAAATTATACCCAGAAACAAATGATGATACATAAAACGGACATTAATTAATATACAATTTCACATACACATAACATCACGCCTTTTATCCCCGAAGGGTTAGGCAGGGTGCACATAAGGGTACTCAATGCCAATGTAACACCCACTGTTCACTATTTATGTTATGAGTCCCATGTAATAGGGGGTGAGTCTATTGCCAAATACCGGGCACAATTCTAAACTGCTACCTCTGAGAAAAATCCAGTAATACCTAGTCCGACTCAGTAATCGAATCTGACGTTTTAGCCCCCACTCCTAAACTTTGATTCGTTTTATCTAAGTATTGTTTTATTACTTATATGACAAAATAAAAAATACGTGTCTAATATTTTTTAATTACCTAACTTACGGACTAATTAAATTTTTAATTTTCATACCCTTTCATCAAGTGAAACAAGTGAATTTATTTCTGCAAATAGGCTACAAGGCAGCACTATTACACGCCAATTTTATCAAGCGAACTATGAGGCCGATCATCATTCCAATTGTCAGTTATTTCAGCCCTTGTTAACATTTCTTTTTTAATTATTGATCTTGAGTTTTCTCAGACAATGTTCAAGAACGATGTACTAAAATATATGTAAATCCATACATAACAATATCTATTATGACGTAAGAACGTGAGAGTGGTGGCCCTAATGGTTAGAATTTAATTCAGTCCTCTGCCTACATTAGTTTAACATTTAACTAAGATTTAGTAAACTAAGGTGTAATGGATGAGGTAATTCATGGTTTATCTATTGGTTGGTTGGCCACTGTATGAGCTACGCTGTGCAGTGTTTTTTTTTTATGGATGGAATATCATCGAATTAATTATTTTTACCTGGGTGAGGCGGGAGGGAATGTCGTACTCCTACTGACTAAACACTCGACCGGAGTGATACCACGGCCTCACAGAAAACCGACGTAAATGTTAAACGTGTTTCGTCATGTGAGTGAGGTTACCGAAGGCCCAATTACCCTCCTCTTCCCCAATCTCCCCAATCCCTGAATCCCCAACGATCCTCAAACTCCTAATCCACAAAAAGCCGGTAACGCACTTGTAACGCCTGTGGTGTTCCAGGTGTCCATGGGCGACGCCGATTGCTTACCATCAGGTGATCCGTCTGCTCGTTTACCGGCTTATGCCATTAAAAAAAAAAACATCACCCCGTTCCTATTCCTGCACTTCGAGCCGGAGCCCCGGCAACCCGTTAAGTCTTTCGCGGCTCCGTATCGGCATCAGCCTTGTTGGACCCCATCTGTAGTGGTATGATGGCTCCTTGAGCCATCCTCATCGCAGGCCTAGCCGTCAGCCGGCAGGCCCGTGCTTACAGTGGCCGGAGATCTTCTCGCGATCGCGGCCCGTTCCTACTCCTGCACTTTGAGCCTTCATTAGTTAGCTCTTATGATACGATATAATACGGCAAGAAAAGACATCATTACCATCAATAACAGCAACAAGATGTCCACCGCAGAATAAAGACGTCTCCAAACCTTCAAATTAAAAACAATACCACATCCAACTACTCAGATATGAATTCTACCCTTATAGGTACTAAAATGAAATCAATTATGACATATAGGTAAGCCGCTGTGACACGTACAAAGGACTCGAATAATCAGATTTACCTGCATATATAATCACGCATGCTTTTAGTACGGTACTTGCTTGTTTAGTTTAAGTGGTGTAGATTGGGTAAGCATAGATTAGATATGATTGGAACAAGAGATATTGTTATTATTTTAAGGAAGTTCCATTTTGATAAAATAGGTTTAAAATATTGACTGCCTTGTTGGTCGAGTGGTCGCAAGTGCGACTGCCGGTCAAGGGGTCTCGGGTTCGATTCCCGGGTCGGGCAAAGTACTACTGGGTTTTTATAAATTCTCAGTAGTAGCACGAAGTCTGGAATGGTGCCCGGTATATGGCCAGTAGTAGCACGGAGTCTGGAATTGTGCCCGGTATATGGCAATAGGCTCACCCCCTATTACATGGGACTCATAACATAAATAGTGAAAAGTGGGTGTTACATTGTACAGTGGCATAATGTACACCTCTGCCTACCCCTTCGGGGATAAAAAGGCGTGATGTTATGTTATGTAGATTTAAAATACTGACTGCCTCGTTGGCCGAGTGGTCGCATGTGCGACTGCCGGGAAGGTTTTCTGACTGGATTTTAGTGTTACATTGATCTCGCACAATCCAAACAAAAAAATAATAATTATATAACTAGAAAATTGTATTGTGGAGTTTCTTGCTCGTTGTATTCACTCTGATGATCATGAATCTACACATTGGAATGAGCAAATAGCTTCACTTTTAATTTTTTGTTGACGTTCCAAAGGGCCTTTCGGGTCTAATTAAAATAAATAATTTTGACTTTGAATTTGACGGGATCTCGGGTTCGATACTCGGATCGGGCAAAATTTTATTGAGTTTCAAAAAAATATCAGTGGTAGTACGGAATCTGGCGGTTCACCCTCTAAATCCACGGGACTCATAACATAAAAAATAGTGAAAAGTGGGTGTTACATTATACAGTGGCATTAATATAATATAAAGACTGCCTCTTCGGCCGAGTGGTCGTAAGTACGACTGCTGGGCAACGGGTCTCTGGTTCGATTCCCGGGTCGGGCAAAGTATTACTTGGTTTTTAAATATTCTCAGTAGTTAAGTGCCGTAATGTGCACCTCTGCCTACCTCTTCGAAGGTAAAAGGCGTGATGTTATGTGTATTATATTCAAAATCTCCGAAGATCTTACGGAAGTTATCATAATACAAAAATTATAACAGATTGTAAAATAAACCTCGAAATTCAATGTTCAAGGGGAAAACACAAAATTGATTTTGTCTCGACACTTTCAAATTTAATTATACAGCTTACGCTTGCTCAAAGTAAATTATTTCTAATTAATTTTAACGAACTAATTTACTAAAGTTTTTTGTCTCTTTCTAGAGTTGAGATTGACAGAAGAAATTGTTTTATAAATATTACATTATGTCCTTTATGATGTCTCTACTTAATTATTAAAATTAATTTTATAATTAAATTTAAAGTAAATATTATTTACGGGTTCGACTGTTGACGACTGCAAATTAAAATAAGTATCGTTAAATAAACAGCCTTATCACAATAATGAACGCAGCCAAATTGAGATTTCAATTTATAATATAACATAACATAACATCGCGCCTTGTATCCCCGAAGGGGGTTGGCAGAGGTGTACATTATGCCACTTTACAATGTAACACCCACTTTTCACTATTTATGTTATGAGTCCCATGTAATAGCGGGTGAGCCTATTGCCATATACCGGGCACAATTCCAGGCTCCGTGCTACTACTGTAAATTTTTTGAAAAACCCAGTAATACTTTGCCCGACCCGGGAATCGGGACCCCTTGCCCGGCAGTCCAACTTGCGACTACTCGGCCAACGAGGCAGTCCATGTATATGTACCTCTATAATATAAATATGAATCGCTGAATGTGTTTGTCAGCGCAAATCTCGAGAACAGCTAAACTAATTTCGCTATTTCTTTTTCCATAAAAAAACTATGTTGAAAGGGTCCGTCAGTGCTTAGTTAAACATAAAAATAGTCATATACCAAGTCAGTAATTCTTATTACAGTAAACAATTCTTATCTAAACAGGGTGGCATTTTGTAATGCCACCTTTATATATATATATATATATATATATATGTCGAAGATGGTTGCCAAAGGAAATTGTAGATAATCTGTGGCAATTAATTTAATTTGTTCCAATTATTGATTTAATGTTAGATTTTATTACTAATTACTTTTTGTAAATTTGAAACATGATTTATCGACTACCTACGAATTGATTTTGGCAACATATTCGATAAAAGTAAACGTTGTTGGTTCTGTTCAAAACAAATAACTGCTTGTCATCTTATTATTGTAAAGTCTGTTTATCGTTGTTAAATCATCATTGTTTATTTACGATAATTATTCTTGTAATATTTGGTTAATTGACTTGCATTATTTTTTTGTGTGTGCCCTAGCTTAGTTTTAGTTAGTATTTATTGATTTATTGATTTCCGTAAATAAATTCTTTGTTAATAATTTTATCTTGTTTATCCCACCAAAATGGGGACTCCAAACCCAGGCGATACGCCGCTCGGTGCTCCTGATCCTACATATATATATATATAAATATTTGATGGGGCGACGTTTGACCACTATCTCGCCTGGGGGTAAGTGATGATGCGGTCTACGATGGAGCACGTCGTCCTATAAGCAACCTATTCACTCGGGCCTTGAAAACTCCTAGGTTATATTCCCTTCAGGAAATACAGATTCTGGCAAAGAATTCCACTCTTTAGGAATACGCACCTGAAGGGAAAGCGCTCTTAATACTTAAGATAGAAATACTCAAGAAATCATTTTCTTTCACATCCTTTATTTTAGGAAAGAAAGAAAACTGCATTCACCTGTTTAAAATTAGCTTGCCTCACACGGTAATCGAACCGACTAAAATCTGTCATAATTTGCACCCTGTACCTACTTTTATTCTTCTCCCTCTCTTCTCTCCTCTCCCTTTCTTTATGTGGCATAACAAAATTCGACCCTGTATAAATACAAATTTATTTCTGTTTCACTAAAACTCCAGAACGGCTGAATCGACTTGGCTAATTAAGGTATTGAAGGGTTCGTGGAAGTCCAGGGAAGGTTTAAGCTTTAAGAAAGGTCGGGTAATAAAAATTGAGGCGGTACTACGGCGTTTGCTGGGTCAGCTGGTACAAAATAAATAGTCATTTAAAAAAAAATTAAACATACTAAAACAATTTAATACATTTTTCTAGGCTTCAAATATTTTATGACGCCTGTACTGTAATCTCTCAAGTATTCTGGCCAGTTGATCTGGGTGGGATCACATTGGAACTCCTCTCGATCTTCGGGAGACAGTGAGGAGTGCAGCTCCCTCGTCCTGTCAGACCTCATGATCCAATTGTGGGTGGTAAAGTGTTCATAAGCATTTCTTAGTACAATTACTTGAGCTAATATTTTGACGTACCTGAAAGAAAGAAATAAATCATATATGTATAAGCGTCACCCAATTTCTCTAATCCCTAAATCCCCAACAATCCTCAAATTCCTAATTCCCATAACGCCGGTAACGCACTTGTAACGCCTCTGGTGTTTCAGGTATCCATAGATGATCAGGTGATGCGTCTGCTCGTTTACCGGCTTATGCCAAAATAAAATTTTTGTTATACTTATTATATAAGTTACAATATAGTAGATTGTTCATTTACAAAATATTGTATTTGAATATTTAATTAATATGTGAAATAAATGTCATTACCAAACAATTCTCTAAATGTTTATATTTCAAATCTATATTTTGTAAGTAGGGTTTTTTTTCTAAGAGAAATACGTCAGGCCCATTCATACAAGAATTCAGTACATTCTACAATAAAGTAGCTAAACTGTTTATAGGTTTAACTTGCCCTTAACTCGTCGAGTACCGTCATTATAGACACAATTAAAGAACAATAGGTTGCGGTCACCAGTGACCTCGCGGTGTTTGACAGTTTAAACATAAAATAATTACATGATACAAATTTCTAGTCTCAGATGACAATGGTAACGCTACTGATTATCTAAAATGTTACAATTTTTAATCAACTAATTAACTATAATTTTGCCGTAGCCGTGTAGGGATAAAGGTTGCCGGGGCTCCGGCTCGAAGGGCAAGAGTAGGAACGGGGTGGTTTTTAGTCAGTAAGACTCCCTCTCGCCTCACTCAGGTAGGAGAAGTCATTCGATTATTTTCCCTCTTAAAAGAAAAACTATAATTTTATGACTACAAGGCGATCGAAAACGAAAATATCTACTAGTTTCGAGTGAGTAAATAAAGTTAAATCGGAATTTTAATTAATTTTGTTCGATAGTCATTATACAAAGAAAATGGAGCACTCACCGTGGTTCCTTGCCAGTCATTTTCAACCAAAGGTCAAGGACATGAGCTGGTATGGTCTGCATGAAGAGCGTTGCAATTGCCAACACAGTTTTAGACTCGACAAATGAAAGATCAGGGTAGGGTAAATCATCTGAAAAATTATCACAAAACATTCCTACAAAAGCAGTAGATAGGGTAAATTCGCCAGTTTGCTTCCAGCTAACAAAGTTCATCTTTTCATGTTGACCCATCATTGCACATTCCACGGCGATATCATATCGTTATCAGTGTCATTTGACATTTCAAAGTCACAATCATTTATTTCAATTCGACCAGGAAGACACTTTTGTACGACAACAAGTGTTCCGGCCAATGCATAATTTATATTAATAGCAACAAGACGCAATTCGTAGGATGCTATGAAAATTTTTATAGGCGCTTGCCCTTGTATATGGGTAGCAAGTGCTGCTATAACGCTTGTCTCCAAACCGCGTACCTTGTAACGCCTTTTTTATTTTATGAAATATTTTAAGAGTTTTAGGATAGAATTTTTGCCATCATTATATCCGTCAAAGATATAACAACAAGAAAAATAAATTATAAGTGAAGCTAGTACCATCCACTACCAGTCATAAAACTCCGTCAAGTATGATGTATGTGGTTCATTCTTAGAGTCCCGTACAAATCAATTACTTTACTTACTTTTTCCACGCCGAACAATTTCTTCAGTAAAATATTTCTTGTAATCAGACCAAGTCACCGGATTATCAGCTGTTGTGGTCGAATTAAAAACTTGGACGTCATTTGTTCTGAAAGTAAAAAGGACCTTTATTTTAATGGCCGACCTTAATCCAGAAACTGAATTTTGGACAGAAAATTCATAAAATCGAACGGGAAGATTGGGTATTCTAGTATCCTCTCACAATATGTCGAAACACAACGCACGTTTTGTTTCACGTCGGTTTTCTGAGGGGCCGTAGTGGTATCACTCTGATTGAGCCGGTCATTCGTGCCGAAGCATGGCTCTCCCGTTGTGTTTCTTCATCTGATTGAGAATCCTCAAAAGGCCGGTAAAGCACTCGTAACGCCTCTGATGTTCCAGTTGTCCATGGGCGACGCCGATTGCTTGCCATCAAAGGATCCGTCTGCTCGTTAACCGGCTTGTCCCATAAAAAAACACTCTAAACAAATAAAACAATTATCTTACTACTCCTTACCGTTTAGCCTTTGCAGCAGCAATAATACTCAGATTAGTTACGAAGTCTACCGGTATAATGTCAGTCCTATTCTTAAAGTCACCACGAGCTATCCTCAGCCAACCTTCGGAAGCATTCATCAGCAACGGAGTGCCTCCATACCAATTTTCCAACCAACCTTTGAGTGGCTCTTTTGCTGTCGCAGACACTAAAAGCAATATTAAATATTTTTAGGTACGATTCCCAACTTTGATAATTCACGGAGTGTTTCACAAAACTTCTTTCTTCATTCTGTATTATTATAATTTCCAATTGCATTTAATTATCTATATTTAAATAATGTATTTTACTTGTTTTTTCTTGATATGCGTAAGCTTTCAATAAAATTAATAAACATTGAATTGTATAGTATAACTCATGTTTTGATACCTAACAAGCTTACAAATATAAATTACTAGCAGCACGACCCGGCTCCGCACGGGGTAGACAATTATTTATTTTTGGAAATTTGGATTGTTGTAGTGACATACATACAATAGTTGGACATATGCTACCGCGGAGTTTTTTGTTAACATTATGATGTTCTTCAATATTGTTGTACATTATTTTGTTCTATCGCTAATAGTTTCGGCAGCGCATTCGACGAAAGACATTTTAAGACTCATTTTTCTACACCTTCGGTTACATTGTTCAAATTTTACCAAAGATCCCTAATTTTTTTCAAAATAAAATGTAGCCTATGTGAAATTGGAAGAATGTAGCATTCTATTGGTGAAAGATTTTTTTAAATCGGCCCAGTACTTTTTGAGCCTATTCATTACAAACATACAAAAATAGGTACAAATCTTTCCTCTTTATAATATTAGTATAGATATTGCATCGTTCCTTAATAAGTCTTTCCAAAAAGAACAATGAAACATTAATAAAAAGATGCAAAGATAAAAACAATCAATGAGGTTGATAAATAGTACGATTCCCATTCAGTTATAATTACCTACAGACGGTCTGATGATGACAGTAGGTACATTTCCATGATGACGACTTAAATAAGCTTCTGATAAAGATTTCGTAAATGTATAAGTATTCGGTTGGCCATCTGTAATCAAAAAAATTGTAACATGCCTTTACTGATATTAGGTACCTACCGAATTGACAGAGTGGGAGATCATGCTTCGACACAAATGGGCCGGGTTATACCACGGCCTTATAGAAAACCGACGTGAAACAACTCTTGCGCTGTGTGAGTGAGGGTACCGGAGGCCCAATTACCCTCTCCACCTCCTCCTCCTTCCCCAATCTCCCCAAACCTTTAGTCACCACAATGCTGAAATTCCTAATCCCCAAAAGCCGGTAACGCACTTGTAAAGCATTTGGTGTTCCAGGTGTTCATGGGCGACGCCGATTGCTTACCATCAGGTGATCCGTCTGCTCGTTTACCGTTTCGTTTATTGTTACAAGTGCGTTACCAGCCTTTTGGAGATTAAGAATTCGAGGATTGTTGAGGATCCGGGGATTGGGGAGAGAGGTATTTGGGCCTCCGGTAACCTCACTCACACGACGAAATACAAAGCTAGTGTTGTTTCACGTCGGTTTTCTATGAGACCGTGGTATTATTCCGGTCGAGCCGGCCTAATTGTGTCAAAGCATGGCTCTTGCACACTTTTCTCATTCTCACACCTACACTCACAAAATCAATTAAAAGTATACCATTTAATGCTATTTTTATCAAATGATAATCATTAAATAGTGGCTTTTTGATCGCTTTAACTCGTCGAGTACCGGTTTTGTAGACACAATTATAGAACAATAGGTTACGGTCACCGGTGACCGCTTGGTCTTTGACAGTTTAACGGCTCTCATCAGGCATTTAAGAAGCATTAAGCTAAGGTAACAATGAAAAAGTGAAGTTTGCAATATAATGTGAAAGCAGCAATGGATATTGTCTCAAGATAATTTATCAATTGTTATCACAATGATTTTAATCTATGCAGAATTTTTCCACTAGGGGTTTACGTACAAAGTCTATTTGATAGTGACTTATCATATCTTGTACTTCATGTCATTTTATCGGGTAATAAACGAAAGTTAAGCAATGCATTAATCAATCGACAAACAAGTATAAAGAAAGTGATACATTTAGATAATGATAGAGGTATGACACAATCGTGTAGGCAATCCATTGCCTCTGCCTACAATAATGAAAGACCCGCATGACAATAAATATGAAAGTAATTAGGTTTCATAATCAAGTTAATCTATAATGCTCCGTTCGCACTACGTTTGTATTTTAGTCGAATGACGAGTATTTAGTAAATTTTTTTTTTACATTTTTAATATTCATACACTGTCTGCTACCCTATTCCAGGCAACAAACCACTGTTGATTAGTTAGTGTTACATTAAAAGTGTGCACTTCTGATTACCCTGTAGCTAATTACATGGTTCTATTTATGAGACACCAACTGATATATAATTCGGCTTTGTTTTTTCGTCATCATCATTATCATCAATAGCCTATTATCATCAATAGTTGGAGCATTAATGAGAATAATACGCTTGCTCATTGCGGGTTGGCAATTTATCTTGCGAGGTCGACAAGGTTACAAGTCCAGGTTTCCTCAAGATATTTTCTCTCACAGTTTGTCAGTAGTGTCTAAATAATCTTAGAAAGTACATATAATTCAAAAAAGTCACATTGGTACTTGCCGTTGGTAGGTTTCGAACCTCTTCAGTCTCCAGGTCATTATTATTCACGTGTTTTTACTTACATATAAACTTCATAGTTGCCTGCTCATCATCTCCATATTCCTCGATGAATTTGTAAACATCTTCCACCTTTGCTGGTGGCGGATAGATAGTTTCTACTAAAACTTGTTTCTGTGTATGGGCAAATGCTGTTGAAACGTAGAGAAATACCTGTAAACGATAAGTAATTAAGAATGAATTTAACTATCAGTTAATCAGTAATATGTATAAGTAACTGCAAATACGACTGCAATGCAATTGATATGATTTTTTTTAAAGTGTAATCATACTATTTTCATTCCACTGTTCGTAGATTTTTTTTTGATATTGGCTTTGTACGTTTTCTTTATATATGAACTTGACCAACAAGCTAATTAAGTACCCTTTTTTATGGTGTAAGCTAGTAAACGAGCAGACGGATCACCTGATGGTAAGTAATTGGCGTCGCCCAAAGACACCCGAAGCACCATTTATGGATTAAGAATTTAAGGATTATTGGGGATTCGAGGATAAGGGAGATTGTTATTTAGACCTCCGGTAACCTCACTCACATGACAAATCACAAAACTAGCGTTGTTTCACGTCGGTGTTCTGTAAGGCCGTGGTATCATTCCGGTCGAACCGGCCCGTTTGTGCCGAAACATGGCTCTCCCACACTTGTACATGCGTATTTGTTAAATACTCATCTAATACTATTAAGCGATTAGTTTTACTAAACATTTATTGTTATTTTACTTTGACTGAGGCCCGATCAAGTGACGCACATGCCAATCTAGTTGTGACCTTCAGTAATAAGGAGAGACAGAGACTCGACTTTGGGTTCATAGGGTAAGCTCGCCTGTTTGCGTCCATTTTACAGATTGCTATGAATGCAAGATACTTAAAACGTGAAAAGGTCAAACCAATGTGTACTAAATACTACTTATAACATCGCGCCGTTATCCCCGAAGGGGTAGCTCACGCTGCTCATGAGGAAGAACCCCTCTGTGGTTCCCGAAACTAGGAGAGCTTTTCTCAGTATATTCACGTGAGTAACCCGCGATTTGACTTAATTAAGTTAGTATTTATGTTATGAGTCTCATGTAATAGGGGGTGAACCTATTGCCATATATCGAGCACTATTCCAGAGTCCGTGCAACTAACAACTAACACCTGAGAATTAAAAAAAAACAGTAATACATACTTTGCCCGACCCGGGATTCGAACCCGGCAGTCGCGCTTGCGACCACTCGGGCAACGTGGCAGTCATACCACTTATATACTTACAGTTTTCTTATTTTCAATATTTTTTAAAGGGCGTTCCATAACATGAACGTGAACTGGTGGGTGAACGCGAATAAGCGACTATATTTTAGTAATAATAGCACATATTGACGCGGACTGCACAATGGCGCGGTGGCTGGGCAACTGACTGCCTCGCAAGGTGTAGCTTTCGTCGCTAACGTCGATTCCCGCACAGAACAGCTCTTTGTGTGATCCACAAATTATTATATGTTTGGTAACGAACTTATGAAACAGGAGAAAATTTGAATATTCTCGGCATTTTTTTTAAGGGGGGAAAATCATCGAATCTCTCGATCAATCATCATCGAAGCTCCCGCCTGGGTGAGGCGGGAGTCTAACTATCCCGTCAGACTCTTACTGACTAGAAACCACCCCGGTTCTTCTCCTGCACGTCGAGCCGGAGCCCCGGTAACCCGTTAGGTTCTCCGCGACATTTTCTCAGTATGCGGCAGTTTGTAAAAAGGAAAAAGAATTAAACATAAATAAATTGATATTTTCCTGTTAAGTGACTCCTCAATACATTAAAACTTGCATCTTTGTTAAGCATGAGACTGGCATTGATTTACCTTACCTCGATTTTCTTCATTCGTTGACTGAGCTCAAGAAGTTTCTTTGTACCTTCGAAGTTGGTGTTCATGGCTATTGGTAATGGTTCCATAAACTTTACTGTTGCTGCGCCATGGTATACTACTGATACCTGAAATTGGCACAGTAAGATAAATAATTTCAGGCTTTTTTTAATGGGACTAGCCCGCCACAACCTCCCAAAACCGCTGCAACTTCTGTAAGCCAGGATCTACAGTAGATACAACCATGAAAACACCGGAACACTGAAGACCGGCGCGTCCGAGGGACATGAATAACTGTCTTGGTTCCCGCAACGAAGTGAATCAGAAAATATTATAAGAGGAGAAAAAAAAAACGATAGTTTCCACTTCCCACGGTGAATTACTGCAGGAGACAGAATGAATTAGGCCTAAAGGTACAAAAAAGAGACTGTACAACTGAGTGAAGCCCAGTCGCCAAGCACCACGGAAAATTTACTAGAACTAAGTGGGTCCTATATGTGAGAGTGTAAGTGTGAGCGGCTATAACTTCACGCCTGTCTCTTATGGGGGAGGCAGAAACTATGGTACGCCAAATGATAGGATTCTAATTCTAAGGCCGAATTAAAGTAGGTACCCTTAATTGACGAGCATGCCTGAAGAGAGTGATGACTGTTGATGAAGCGAAATAGGTATGTAAGAATCGTAAAGTATACGAAATTTCCCAATAATGTTTTTCCAATCAAGGCGCAAGGAATCGAATACTTGTTCAGAAGTCGTTCTTATGACCAATCAACCAATGAGGCTGTCAGATTTTTACACTTCCACCTAAACTATGAAAATTATCATAAAACTAGAGACGGTATTTCTTGAAAGTTTCATTATACGTAGATACAAACATAACATCATTTATCCCCGAAGGGAAAGGCCACCTCTGCCTTATGCATTATCTGCGGCACTGAATGTCACTTTACAATGTAACACTCACTTTTCACTATTTATGTTATGAGTCCCATGTAATAGGAGGTGAGCCTATTGCCATATACCGGGCACAATTCCAGGCTATTTTTTGAAAACTCAGTGATAGTTTGCCCGATCCGGAAATCGAGACCCCTTGCCCGGCAGTCGCACTTGCGACCACTCGGCCAACGAGGCAGTTCATTTTAATACTTCAATATACTTAAATTTTTACTTGCATTGTCAATGAGAGTCTGTTCGTCTTCAGGTTTCAGTCCCAGTTTTGGTAATCGAACATCTCCAGAAATAGGGACCAACTTCTTGAAACATTCAGGGTCGGTATTTTTCAATCTTGTGAAGAACTGAAAATATATTTTTATAATAAGTATCGTAAGACATACAAAATTAATTAAAATCACGGGTTACTTACGTGAATATACTATATAACACATTATTTTGTTTTGTCTGGACTTTATTGTGACCTTTAGATTTTCTCAGACTAGAGTGAACTATAACTTAGGGTGCAGACATAAAGAAACAGGTCGATACAGGTAGGCAAAACTGTACGGATCAGTGCCGATTGATGCCGGAATAATAATTCACTTTTAAAGCAATAGATGCCGCCTTTATCGACATGACATCTGTTTCTTTGAAGTATAAAACCTGTGCCGATCGGTACCAATCCGTACAGATTTGTCTGTACCGGAAATCTGTTTCTATAAGTAAGCGTCGTTACATAATGAAGAGATAAATGATTACTTACCTGATTGTTCAGCATATCTTCTATTCTCTTGTTAATGCTAACATTCTTTTTCTCTCGAACAAGAAGGTATATCTTATCAATTTTTTTACAGGAATGTAACAGTTTTTCTATGTAAACCTGAAATAATATGGAGTATTGAAAATTGTTTACAGGAAACTTTTTGAAAATAATTATTGTGTCTATCACTATTGTGTAAACAACTATCGTGAGAAATATGAAATGTTGTGTGAGCAAACTGCAAAAGGAACCACAAAAAGGGCCCTTAGCTATGAGGCTATGGGCCTCTTTTGTGGCCTGAAACTAGTTAAGTAACCTCGTCGAACAGTTTCCCAAATAAGTACAATTTAATGTTTTTAAATGAAAAAGAACTCTTTACTGATCAATCCCCAAGAACGGCCACCGGTGACCGTTCTCCACTAATTCCATTAAAGACCTTATTACCGATGATTAGAGACTACTTTAGTATGAACAAATTTTGGAGAATTATAACAAATGATTGTGTACAAGTTAATCTGAACTAATGACTAACCTTGCCTAAAAATCCCGTAGCTCCGGTAACAAATAAAGACTTCCCAGCATAGTAATCAGCTACTGATCGGTAATTTTCTCGTGAATTTTGACTAAAAACAAAAAATTGTATAAAATAGGCCTTGAAGAAATATAAATTATTGTAAGAACAATCGTTTTTTTTGACCAACACAACAAGTTGCATTTTTGAATTAAAACAAAAAATTGTAATCTACATACATTTACACCAATAGTATAAAGATTAGATGTTTTGTGTTTTAGTTTGGTTAAATTAAATCTCCTCCGAAAGTACCGAATCGATTAAAAAAAAACACATTTATTGTTGAAATCCTACACTATCGATAATGATGGCTTCATTTAATAAGAGAAAAAACAATGAACGCCTGATAGTTATCAACCGCTGTACCTATTTGATTATACATAATTCAAATGGAGTTTCACAAAAAAAAAAACAACATTTCACAATAAATATAACTAAATTGATTCTGATGATATTACTTCCACGGCATTGCAATTAACCTTGGAGAAGACTAATTGAAAAATCCAAAATTTACCAGAAGTCATTATTATACGCGGACGAAGACTCAGGAAACAGCTAGTGAGATATACAGACGATTGACGCACTTTTAAATTTAAAACATAATATCAGTAACAATCGAAATGACGTCATCGTATGTGGCTGTCTGAATAGCGGGTATATTTATCAAAAAAAAAAGTCAAAATCATTTATTTCAATTAGACCAGGAAGGCACTTTTGAACGTCAATAACAAAAATTTAGAAGTGAAGCTAGTTGCTCATTCCAACGTGTAGGTAGATTCCTATGGAGAAGAACGAGCACTTAGGTTACTCTTTTTCAATCGGGTTTACAATATCTTCTATACATAATATGTGTCTGGACTCTTGATTTGGCATTTCTTCTTAGAGTAGTTACTTATGAAATGTCGGCCTATCGTTCGCTTAAAAAATTTACGTGTAAAAGTGCTGCCTTATGGCCTATTTTCAGAAATAAATTCACTTGTTTCATTTGTTATAACTCTAGTTAGCTATACAATTTGAATTGTCTGAACCGTCCTTTGGGCCCAATAGGGCTGATACTGATACGGAGCCGCAGAGGGCTTAACGGGTTGCCGGGGCTCCGGCTCGAAGTGCAGGAGTAGAAACGGGGTGGTTTTAGTCAGTAAGAGTCTGACGCTCCCTGCCGCCTCTCCCAGGCGGGACAAGTAATTCGATGATTTTCCACCCTTAAAAAATAGGGTTTTTCTTATGTGTCGTGGGTGCATTTACAAACATGTAAGTTCACGTACACATGACACCCAGGCCCGAAGCAATAATCAATTTGTGGATCACACAAAGAGTAAGCTGGGGAGCTTTCTCCTTCTCAAGAGCCTGATACAACGTGTATGCACGGCAGCCAGTTGTCAGATAATGATGATGATCGTGATGACCTAGTGAAGACTAAGATAGAAATATGTTTTTAAACTTACCCAGGTACATTCGAGTATCCTCGCACGTAACTAATTTTGTATGCTTCCTGAATCACGACACTGTTTCGCTTGAAAAAATGTTTTAAGAAACAGTCTCTGCCGGAATAACGCAACATTTTTACTTCTGAACTAGACAAAAGTAGAAGAACAAATGTAAACAATACCCTTCCTACAACCAAGTAAAAATTAGACTAATATTTTCAACGAATAAAAATACAAAATCATTTTACAAATATTTTCATATTGTATTTTTTGCGTTAAAATACGTTATAATATTTCAGTAACAATTTTAACTTGTATTTTGTCCGTCTAGTTTTAGTAAATAAATGAATATTAAGGACTCAATTCTTATATACCGAAGGAGTGTCTATTAGATTTATAATAGTACGTCATGTCGCAGTCATATCTGAAGTTTTGTATTTTGTTAAACTTGACTTATTGCGTGACGAGATTCCTCGAACTGTTTTAAATGTCGTAGTGGTGTGTTGTTTTTGAAATGAGGGTGCAGGTTCCAAATCTATGACCAGTAAGTACTAATGAATGAAAGAATTCCTTACCGGAGTCTGTGTTTCCTAACAAAATACAATAATAATAATATAATAATCTTTATTGTCGCAAAGGTTATACAGTTCTTCGGGTGACTTATATCTAGACACAGGTTTGAAATGAAAATTGCTATAGGTACTGATGCTGTCTCCCAAACTAAGCGAAAGCTTGTATTTTGGGTGGGTGTTCAGTCATTTAATGAGACTCAATGATTACTGTTTCAATATTTATTTATTTATTTATTTTATTTATTTATTTATTTATTGCAAAATGTATATACATAGTGGTATTTATGTATGCAACAGTATTTAAGTAATTATGCAACAACTTGAGTATCTTCAAGTCTCAAATCAACTGGTTGCTCATAGGTAGGCGTGCTCCATCGTCGCCCACATCGTCGCTTACCAGACGAGATAGTGGCCAAATGACAGCTTATTTACAAAAATAAAAAGTCGTTACAAATTTCGAAAAACAAAGAAAAAGAAAAACTCCCGAATACTTTCAGAACTTTAGTAAATATTTATGTATAAAAACGCATGTACAGATGGACTTAATGCCTTAGGCATTGTCTTACAGTCGAAAGTGGTGCACAGATGAAAGTGGAAGGTGACTAAGTAGGTGTGGTAAATATATATGGAGGTAGTAACAATATACAAATAATTATAATTTAAATATCTATAGTTTAACCGCAACTTTTTTTAAACCACTATTGTGGCAAAAAAGCACACGGTAAGTGGTTACCGTTTCCTATGTACGCTGGCAATACTCGGGTCATTAGCAACAATGTACCTAACTTGTAAAAGTAATAAATACAGGAATTACAAATGAATCGGTATGCAATCGATAACCCGATTATTTTAACGTGACTGACTATTATCATTAATAATTATGTCAAAAATTGTAAAATTGTGTTATTTTACTATTTGTTTCTGTCATTTATACCGAAAAAGTATTTATTTTGAAATTATATAGATAAAAATAACTTCATTCATAGTTTTTTTTTTTGAGATTTTGAATTATTTTTGGTACTTAGGCCCCGCACACACCAGCGGAGGCGCGGCGAAGATGATGAGAATAAATGAATTTAAAATAAACCTTATCGACTATGGCATACGGGTAAAAACGGCATCCTAAAGATCGATTTTAGTGGGACTCACTCAAAGAGCCATCAGACCGTCACTGAGAGTAAGGCTGATACCCGACAGTGGCTGATTTCATTTATACTCCTAAAAAAAGATACATAGGTCAATATTTAATTTAAAAAAGAGACCATTCTTGATATTGAGAAATGTGCATAGGAGGTATATCTCTAATGACCTCAAGGAAGACGGCGGCACAGTGGTCACAGGCCACCGTGCACTGCAAAGAGAGCTCTGGGTCTCCATTTTTTTTTAGAGGGGAATTTATCGAATGGCTGCTCCCGTCTGGGTGAGGCGGGAGGGAGTGTCAGACTCTTATTGACTAAAAACCATCCCGTTCCTTCTTCTGCACGTCGAGTCGGAGCCCCGGTAACCCGTTAGGTTCTCGCGACCATAGGGAGGTGCCGTTACATGCGATGCACCGTGCGATGCATATGAGGGCTCCGGAGTTGGTTTATTAAGAGAACCCGGTGCGTCCTTCAGGAGCGCATGGTGTCCATCGGGGAGATTTTAGTGAGCTAAAAATCCCACACTCCCTAGTCTTTTCCCCCAAAAAGCTAGGCGTCTTTTGAAAGTTTCCCCCCGTCTACAAAATAAAGGTTTATGTATCTATAATATGACGATATACTTGTACAACGTAAAATTTTAGTATGTAAAATACAGCTTTAATCCTATAAGTCGACTATAGCTAGTTGATTGTTATTAACATTCTTACTGTCTATCTATTATTGTGCGTAGATCATAAATGGCTACACATAAAGCTATGCATCTATACAGATAAAAAATGGATTGTCTTTTTGTTATAGTAAAATAACCGGTTTTTACTACATGCATATAAAAATAAATAAATAAATAAAATTTATTCATAATAACACTGGTCAACATAGGTACAAAAAAATCTTAATTAAGCGACAAGATCTTAAAAATAATATGCCTATACGTATAATATGTGTCACAGACGACAGGAGCTCTTAAAATATGTTATTGATAAGACAATTTATTTATAGCATATTTAAAATATTTAACACAATTTTCAGTAGTAAGGTAGGATTGTTTAATATACTACACATTACATACATACATACATACATATAATAACATCACGCTTTTTATTCCCTGAAGGAGAATAAAAAGTCAACTTTTTATTACCTACGTAATACATTAAGATGTATATGAAAATATATGTATATGAATATACTTACATACGATGCTTTTTAAGGGGGGAATATCATCGAATGGCCGCTCCCTCCTGCATGAGGCGGGGGGAGTGTCAGTCTCTTACTGACTGAAAACCACCCCGTTCCTACTCCTGCACTCCGAGACGGTGCCCCAGTAACCCGTTAGGGTCTCCGCGACAATATACATACGATACACACACTAAAATAACATTTTTTACTATTTTTTTCTATATTTGTACTGGTTAATCTCTGGAATGGCTGGACCGAATTTGACGGGAATGGTATTGGCAGTTAGCTGATGTACTAAGGATTAACATAGGCTTTTACTTTTATTTTGGATAATTGAAAAAAAAAATATGTCCTTAAATTCATATTTTACGCAGAGGAAATGGCGGGCAACAGCTAGTAAGTAGTAACCACTATAAACGGACCGTTGAACGTGCGGGAAGATCGTATAAAGCGAGATCACGATAACTGGTTTTTTATGATGTGCGTAGATGTGCGTAGGTTTTATTAATTTTAGCGCTTAACAGACATGGTACACACGGCCTCACATCAATCTATACAAAACCAGTTTATCCTGGTATCGCGTTGCATCATCTTTCCGCACATTTAACGTTCAGTTTATACTGGCTATGTAAAGGTCGATGTGTAGCTATGTGTACATAAAAAAACGAAATAAAAATGCTAAATACAAGGTAATCTTTATTGTGTCACAATTCTTTAAAATTATCTATGTTAGAATAATAAAAAAACTTATTTTAACGCTATCTTAAAATACATTATTAATTAACATTATTAAAATATTTGATTCTTCTATCTATTATGTCGTTATGTCTCTTCTCTTTCTATTTTTTCATTTTTCATTTATTAATTCATAGAAAATGTGAATTACAATTATCACACAAATTCGTTATTTATTTACTCCAATCTCCGATATTGACAATATTTTTTTTGTCAACTGTTTACCTAAAATGTTCGAGGAAAAGTTTTAAAACTGAAAAAATACTGTAAAAACAAAGTATTATCGTACGTTTTTCTATAAATTTAACTAATCTAATGCTAAACATTCTTCAATACATCGGCCTTTTAATAAACTACATGCATCGTTTTTATAATCCTTACTGTTTTTAAAGTCGTTTTCTTATACTAAATATTACCTCATATATTGCCATACTCAGAAACATTTCTATTCCTAACTTTTTAGACAGATGGATCCCATTTCAACTGCAATCCAATGGCAAATTGCAGGTCGAATGCAGTTTGGAATATAGTCGAGTCATGACTGCAGTTCAACTGCAAACCAAACGTGCAGTCCGATTGCAGTTCTATTTTATCGCAGTAGTGTCAACTACGTTCAAATCTTTTTTAAAAAAAGAAACATTGCCCCACACTAGGATTTACTCCTGGGTCGTGGGTGCGTTTACAAACATACAATATCCCATACACATGACACCCAGACCCGGGACAACAATCTGTGAATCACACAAAGAGTTGTTCCGTGCGGGACTCGAACCCACGACACGTAGCGCGGCAGTCAGTTGCCAGCCACCGCGCCAACCGAGCTGTCAAACTGCATCCGAACTGCAAATTGCAGTCGGATTGCAGTTGAAATGTGATTAGTCTGTTTAGAGCCTTAATAACGATTATGTTCTGAAAACAATTGCTAAAGCCTGGTAACCATTAAATGACTTAAAGGCACCTTTTATCCCGCGGCGGGATCCGTGAGCCCTTAGCCTTAGTATGACAGATAGTCCATTAAAATACTTACGAGTCAATACAATCTAAATCTAAACGCATTTTCCTTTAGACGGGTAAAGCTATATTTTTTATTAATTCATGAACCTGTTTTACGAGATTTACCAACCACTTTCAAGCCATATACGGGTCTCGTAATATACGTGAGTTGCTTGTATGATAATCGACAAGTCATTACATCGAAACAGTGATAGGGTGATCACTTAATTTAATGATATTAACTTAAATCATTAAGTCCCGGCGCTCATTGCCGGCATGGCACGCTGCGGCATCCCGCAGCAAGCCGTGGCATCTTACTGTAAGCCCAGCAACTATTCCATGACCGCTGTGCAAGTCACAACCTTATTTCAACTAGTTGAGCAATCATAATTCTTTGACAAAAAATGACACATAGGTACGTCTCGCGATATGTGAAGGCACTCGTCAGTATCGTGGTGCCGAAACAAAGTAATGTGAATTCAATTCTCATTGAAATAAGATTTAAAATAACGTCATTAGTGATAAAATCCCTTATCATGCCAAGCTGTACCATGCCAGCAGTGAGCACCAGCCTTAGGTTAACAAAATATTATTTTATCTTTTCCAGAAACTGTCGTACTCCGGAACAATAATCCGTAATGTAGTCAGTCCAATCTATCCTGTTGGCATCACATGGAAACATGCGTTGATCTGTGAGAGAAAGAGATGAGAATAGTTCACTCGTCCTTTTCGATTTAATCTCCCACGTATGAGATGTGAAGAAGTGCACTGCCTCCTGCGTTTGCGCGACCAGATTTTGCAGTTTGTAATACCTGGTTGAAAATAATAAATCTTGTCATAAAAACAATTCCAACAATACAATCGTTGTTTTATTTCATTCATTTAGTCAAAAACAAAAATACACCGAAGCAGAATGCAGACACAATAAAATAAAAGAAAAAAAGCTAGCAAGTTATTGTAATTTGCTTGTACATACTTTAGTTTTAACAATAAAATCATGTTACATTTTGATAGCGAGAGGAAATGACATTCTTAATTTTATTATATCATTAAAATATAACACACATTTACATACATTTCTGTGGTATTTCTTATTAGAGTAAAATCCTTAACTTTTAGTTAATTTTTATGGTTAATTTCTATAGCTAGGTGGATAGATAATGGCTAAATTTAATACATAACTACCTATAGGAAATTGGGACTATGATAGGATAAAATAATTAAGCATCTATTTATTTTAGTCCGTCTATTGTACTAAAAAGATGTAGATGTTATGTAAGAAAAGTAAAAAAAATACACAAAGATGTGACGTCATGCGAAATTTAAAAGAAGCGTAAATATTACCTATATAGGTACGAAAAAAAAGAATGACTACAAGGTATTTTAATTCAGCCAAATACAATAAAAAAACATGTCGTCATAATTATCAACTAATTGTATTAGTTTTAATGTCACTCACCTTGGATTTTTTCCTAACAGGCGGCGTCCTATATCACCTAGATACGCTGGTATCACCTGGAATATGAGTGTGACGAGGAACACCAGCCACCTGTAGTTACTGTACACATACCAACCGGGAAGTGGCATGACATCTGCAACAATATGGTATTTCTTAATCAGAGTAGGCACTGGAATTATTAGAAGTACAGAATTAATATATAACATCATGCCTTTTATCCCCGAAGGGATAGGCAGAGGTTCGCATTACAGCACTTAATGACACTGTATAATGTAAGTATTTTTTTCGCTATTTATATTATGAGTTCCATGTAATAGGGGGTGGGACTATTGCCATATACCGGGCACATTTCCAAACTCCGTGCTACTTCTGATAATAAAAAAAACAATAATAATTTGCCCGATCCGGAAATTGAATCCGATACCCCTTGCCTATCAGTCGCACTAGCGACCACTCGGCCAACGAGAAAGTATAAAAATAATTAACTTTTTTACAATAGCAACAATTCATTCAGTAAAACGCTGCTGGAAATATACACCAGGCGTTTTAATATACTCTTGGAGACATTTCCTGAAGGATGTCTTCAATGCCCGAGTGAATAGGTTGCCTATGCGACGACGTGCTCCCTCGTAGACCGCATCATCGCTTACCACCAGCCGAGATAGTGATCAAACGTCGGACCATCAAATATAATAAAAATATTGATAGATATTTTCTTCCTTTTTGATAGATATGTATATACGTAATTACTAATCCCAATGCGATGTTATGTTGCATACCCACCAGCATCCATAGATACAGAAACTCACGAAGAGATTGTCTTTGAAACAGCACCCTGATATTTAATACAAGGTGTCCAGTAAAGGAAAGAAAGAAAGAAAAGAAAGAAAGAAAAATAATTTATTCGCCACCAGACATGGACCACCGAAAATTAACAAAAAACACAAACAATAAAGAGAAAACAATATAAAAAACAAAAGGGTGCACCAACAAAAGACAAAAGGGTGCACCAAACTGTGAGAGGTATGGTAATTATGAAAGTCGCGGAAAACCTAACGGGTAACCGAGGCTCTGGCTCGACGTGCAGGAGAAGGAACGGGGTGGTTTTTAGTCAGTAAAGTCAGACACTCCCTCCCGCCTCACCCAGGCGGGAGCAGTCATTCGATGATTTACTCCCTTAAAAAAATGGTAATTATGAAATCGCTAACCCGCATTAAGCAAGCGTGATGATTAATACTAAAACCTTCTCTGTGTGAGAAGAGGCCTTCGGTCAGCAGTGGCCACTTATCGGCTGTTAATGTGATGTGTATGATCCAGATATTTGAATGCTCATTTCATTTGAACTTACAAGACTTATGTTTGACAGTGTAGTCTATAAATAGCCCGACGAGTCTCTTCATAGTGATGGGGTTGCAGGAACTGCTGCAGGAATTGTAGATTGTCACTTCATTCGAACTGCAAATAGAAAAAGAACATTCTAGACTATAAAATTATAAATTGTGTTATCTAATATTCCCATCTTAATATTCACTGGCTCGTTGCTTATGTAGTTGTTCGTACAATTTCTGAGAAAAAGCTATCGAATTTGATTTTTTGGCTCGAACTAGGCATCGATGATTTTTTTTTTGTTTTCTCTTAATTTTAGTTTTACTTTTTTAGGCACGGAATTTGTCATTGCTCGGCATACGATAATAGGCTGACGATAAGGGCTTACCCCCCCTTTCATGAGACACATAATGTAACTGGCGAAAAGTGATTGTTATAATAAATATAGCTGTTGCCCGCGTCTTTGTCCACGTAGAATTTCTTCTTATTAAATATAGCCTATGTTCATCAGGAAAATATCCAAGGTTATATACTCAAACAAAAACAAGACATGAGGGAAATGGAGAAAAATATCAAAGATTCAATTAATAGGAATATAGATGAAAAATTCAACAAAATGGAGTCCAAAACTAAAGAGCTGGAATGTAAAATTGAACAACAGCAGAAAACCATTGACTACTTAGAAAGACAAAGGAGAAAGAGAAACTTGGTGTTTTTTGGTGTCGAAGAGAAAGAAAAGAGCTATGAAGGTTTATGTTCCCTAATACTTAATATCATTAACAATAAGATGGAAATAAAATGTACCAAGTGGGAAATTGAATCTGCAAACAGATTGGGGAAAAAGGCAGGCAAAATCAGACCTATAGTAGTGACACTTACAACAATAGGTATGAAAATAGAAATGCTTAAGAGAAAGAAATGTTTAGAAAATACTGGAATGTACATTAAAGAAGATTACCCTATGAATGTTCTGCAAAAACGGAAAGAACTCCAAGAAACTTTAAAATTGGAACGGGAAGCAGGAAATTTGGTTGCTTTACATTACGACAAGATAGTTACGCTTAGGAAACAATCGGAAGTCCTCTCAACATCTTCAGGAAAAAAATCTAGTAAGAGATTCATGTCGGCATCGCCCGAGAATACAGTCACTAACCCTACCAACATGGAAGAAGGAGTAAAACAAATGCAGAAAAAGAACAAAACACAAACGGCAACAATATCTAGCTTCTTACGACCCTCGCAACAAAAACCTATAAACCAGGGTACAAGACATGATACTGAAGAAATACAAAAAAACTAACAAGCACGCCTCCACCACCTCCTCCAAGCCGACTGGTCATCGTGGAGGAGCCAGACCAAAACCCCCTAAATGTAACCAATAATAAATGTACGGAAATACCTATAACGAAGCCTAATCCTAATTATCTCTATGTGGCAAGCATTAACGTAAGAACTCTGATGTCGGACTGCCGACTTACAGAAATGAATCTAGCATTAACAACAATTAAATGGGATATCTTGGGTCTATGTGAAACTAGAAGGGCTAATGAGAATATCGAAGAGTTTCCTGATTTTATATTTTACCACGCATCTGGCGTCTTGGGAAGAAACGGAGTGGGATTTCTTATTAAAAAACGCTTGAAAAATAATATTATTAGTCTCAAGTATTTTTCAGATAGAGTAGCGACACTGGAAATTCAAACGTCAAACGACACGATTTGGTCGTTCATTCAAGTATACGCTCCCACAGAATCATATAAGAAGGAAGACATAGACCTGTTCTACCAGACAATAGACTCCGCAATGGATTTAGTAAGCTCCAAAAATGTTGTGCTATTGGGGGATTTCAATGCAAAAATTGGAAAAAAACAAAAAGAAGAGGATGCAGTAGTCGGAAACTTCTCTTGCGGAAATCGATCTTTGCACGGACAAAAGTTGGTAGATTATGCTCTCGAAAATAACTGCAAAATAGTAAACACTATGTTCAATCTCAAACCACACAAAAGATGGACATGGCAATCACCAGACGGAAGATACTACAACGAAATAGATTTCATACTCACGAACAAGCCTAAAAATATACACGATTTTGATATAATACGTAATTTTAATTTCAACACAGATCACAGAATGATAAGATGCAAACTCTACGTAAAACTGAAACATAAAAGACCAAATATAAAACCTATCAACTATACCAGAAACCTACCGTTGGTGTCTGGAGAAAGTGCAATATCTTGGGAAAATAAATTCATGGAAGCATTATGTACAAGAATAGAAATACAAGAACAATATAACCAATTCGAAACTGTTATGAAGAACCTATTGCAACTCTTGCCGGAGAAAGAAAAACATAAAAAAGACTATATAAGTCAAGAAACAAAACTCTTATTGGAACAAAGAAAAATATTGTATACAGAGAAACGCACAAGAGAAATAACGTCCAGAATCACTGAAATTAGCAAGAAAATTAATAGAAACATATCGCGCGAGAAGAAGAAATATAGGCAAAACACGTTAGAAAATCTAATACAACGAACTGGGGCTATGCGTAAGACATTCAAAGAACTGAGTGATAGGACGGAGTGGGCTACGAACCTGAAAAACAAACGTGGTAATATACTTGCAAGACGTCCAGATATAATTAACGAAGCAACACGTTTCTACAAAGAACTGTACACCGATGACCAGCAAAGTAATATTAACAACCTGAACTTACAAAAAGATGTCAATACACACAAGAAAGCTGGAATTTCTACCTTACTCGATACGGAAAAATTTCTCACATCTGAAATTGAATACGCAATAATAACGCAAAAGAACGACAAGACTCCTGGTAGTGATAATATCGCGAACGAGGTCCTGAAATCTCTATGCATACCGTTGTTGAAACCTTTACAATTGCTGTTCAATGGAATACTTAGAGAAGGAAAAACACCCGAGCAATGGTCCAAGTCTACAATCACACTGCTTCACAAAAAGGGAGACCGGAGTGACCTCGGAAATTATAGACCTATCAGCCTCATGACAAACCTGTACAAAGTATTCTCTAAGGTCATTTTGAATAGAGTCACTAAAATCCTGGATGAAAATCAGCCACGCGAACAGGCAGGGTTTCGTAAGGGGTATTCTACGACGGATCATATACAGGTGGTTACACAAGTAATAGAGAAAGCTAACGAGTACGGGAAAACTATTTATATGTGCTTTATCGATTACCAGAAAGCTTTTGACTCTCTGCACCATGATGCAATCTGGTCAGCAATTTCACATCAGGGAATGGAAATAAAATACATTGAACTAATTAAAAGCGTTTACTCTAAATGTCGGGCTAAAGTAAAACTCGAGAGGGAAGGAGTAGAGTTTCCCGTACAAAAAGGAGTTCGACAGGGTGACCCATTATCGCCGAAATTATTTTCGGCCGCACTTGAGTCGATTTTTAGAAACCTAGAGTGGGATAAGAAAGGCATAAAAGTGAATGGAGAATTTCTCAGTCACCTGCGCTTCGCTGACGATATTGTAATATTTGCTGAGACATCAACCGAATTAGAATATTTGATAACCGAATTGGCAAGAGAAAGTAGAAAGGCTGGTCTGTCGTTGAACGCTTCTAAAACAAAAATAATAACGAATGGAGTTATTCAGGATGTTGTAATAGAGAATATGAAAATCGAATACGTCAGTGAATATGTGTATCTGGGACAACTGGTGTCATTCGAAAACTATACAGAAAAGGAAATACAAAGAAGAATAGGTTTAGCATGGAAAAAGTACTGGGGTCTAAAGGAAATAATGAAGAATAGAGAAGTTAGTTTACACATAAAAAAGAAAGTTTACGAAACAGCGATATTGCCCTGCCTTATATACGGATGCCAAACATGGTCATTGAGGAAAGAAGACGAGGAAAAAATTGCCATATGTCAAAGAAAAATGGAAAGGAGCATGTTGGGCATAAAAAGGTCAGATAAAATAAAAAACGAATTAATACGAGGGAAAATAAAGCTAATGGATGTAAACCAAAGAATAAGATTGCTGAAGTGGAACTAGGCAGGACATCTGTGCAGATTAGAGTGTACGAGATGGACAAAGCGGGTGACGGAATGGATTCCATTAGACGGTAAAAGATAGCAAGGGAGGCAAAGAAAGAGATGGCGAGATATTTTTACCCAACGTTGTGGACCAGACTGGATGCACAAAGCGCGCAACAGGAAAGAGTGGAGTGATTTAGGGGAGGCCTACGCCGTAGAGGCGACCGCTATGAATAGTGAAGATAAACCAGAGTAGAAGAAACAGGTTAAAAGGAACGGATTTACATAAACAGCTTAAGAAAAAGAACATAACATTATTAACATTTGTGTACTTTGAAATGATTTAAATCTAAATAAGTTTTGTCTAAAACATTGTAATTAGTGGAATAAAGGGCATTTTTATTTTTATTTTATTTATTTATTTTATTATGTTCATCAGAGTTAATGTAGGATTACAATGGTACAAGATTTTTTCAAATCGGTCCAGTAGTTTTGGAGTCTATTCAATTCAAACAAACAATAAAAAAAAAATAAAAGAAGTAAATATGCGTGCGCCTTTGCTATTCTGGAGATTAAAAATCGTGATTAAAAATATGTAGAATGTATAACATTAAAAAAACTCTTACTGATAAGTCTTAGCCCCAGCAACAATCACTAAATTAGCAACATAGTCTACTGGGATGAGGTCCACCACGTGATTGGAGTGTCCGTAGATGACCCGGTTTAGACCCTTGGCAGTGAAGACTGAGAGACCAGTTGCTCCGTACCAGTTGGCTAACCAGCCTCGTATGGGGTCATCCTTGATTGCACCCACTGGAAGAAAAGAGAAATAATGTGGTTATATGGCAGGTAAATAAATACAGAACGTCACGTACAAAAGTTTTACTGGGCTTTTTCAAAAAAAAAAATCTCAGTAGTAGCACGGGGTCTGTAACTGTGCCCGGTATATGACAATAGGCTCACCACATATAATAACATGGGACTCATAACATAAATAGTGAAATGTGGGTGTTACATTGTACAGTGGCATTAAGTGCCGTAATGTTCACCTCTGCATACCTCTTCAGGGATAAATGATGTTATGTTACGTTAAAATGTTACTAAAACAATGATTCTAAGTAAATAATAAATCATTGGGTGTCATGTCAAACAATCACGATAAATTCTTTTACATTTTACGAGCTAATAAACTGCGAAGGTGATATAAAAAATAATAATTTTCCATCGGAAACATAAAAAAGTTTATGATAGTTGTAAATAAAGGGAATCCCGAAGCCTGTGTCGTTTGCATATTTATATTGTTTTTTATGATTTCGCAGACAGGTTGACTGAAGACTGGATACCTACATAGCTTGAAATGGGTACATAAAACATAGGAGCTGAAGTGGAAGAAGAAGAGAGAAATAGAAGAAAGATAGTATGAGGAATTTGATCCTTTAGGCTACTTACCTATAGAAGGTCTGACGATGATAGTGGGCATGTAGGATTGGTTTTCAGCTACGAGATGCTCTGTCAATGCCTTCGTGAATGTGTATGTATTTGGACGTCCATCTGTAATCACATTTTATAACAAATGTTGCATCATTATCATCGTTTCATTATGGATAGGTAATAGTGCTAAGTAGAAATAATCCCACATCTTTGTGATACCTCATAATCGGAGGATAAAATTATTTTTGTATTTTGTCTCATTGTGGCCTTATTTTGCATAAACTGTTTCTGGGTCCGACAAACCCTTCTTACCCATTGTACGGATTATTCGTAAGTACAAAAGAGTAATATTACTTACTCAGTATCTTCTCTGTTTCTTCCTCAGTGACGCCATTTTTGACGTGTTGGTGTACATCGTTGATGTCTGCTGGCGGTGGATACAGAACTTCATCTATCACTGCTCTGTTTGTATTCGTGTATGCTGTCGATATGTGGATGAAGACCTGAAAAATTGTGCTTCATTTAATTGTAAAAACAAATATTAAACCAAATTAATTATTATGTTTTCGGCTAACTCACGTAACTGTTTGACGAGGTACTCGACTAGCAGCAGCGCGACAGTCGCACTGTTGCGGATCGCGGAATGCTGCTCATGAATATGAGCCTCTAGCATGCCTTGAAGCTAGTCGAGTTCCTAACCAAACAGTTAATTACGTGAGTAAGCAGAAAACATAATGATTATTTTAAAATGTCTCACGAAAGTAATAATAATATTAAACCGTTTAAAACAAGTTAAAGACCATGTCGTGTCCATTGCCTTCGTTAGGGTGGTACGACACGCTAATCCTACTGCTAGGCAGAAGTGTCCTCTCACAACAGAAGAAATAAAAATTCATGACTCCACTAAGACATGCCACAAGCAGACAGGTGATTTGAAACTTATAATTTAAGTCCTATGGTTTCCTCACGACATTTTTTAACATCGTATAACAGTTTTTTTTAATAAACTTCGGCTTACAATCATCTTGATCCTATATAAAAATACTACTAGACTAGATAATAGATAAAAAAAGTAGTTATCACCTCTGAAATGTTATAAGTTCCATCTATATCAAGCTTACCTCAATTCTCTTCATCCTGCGACTCAGAGCCATGATCATTCGAGTACCTTCCACATTGACATTCCACGCAGTCGCTAGAGGCTCGTTGAATTTCACTGTGGCTGCTGAATGAATGACCACTGACACCTGGAAAGTTGCAATAATTTTAGTTTTTATTTTATGGCATAAGCCGGTAAACTCAAACTCAAACTCAAAAGCATTTATTTTAGTTAAACCATAATTTGGCCCTTTTGAAACGTCAACAAATATGAAATATATAATAGTCTGTCAGTCTGTCCGTCAGTGAAGCTAGGCGCTCGTTCCAAAATGTCGATTCGAGTGGAGAAGAACGAGCAAGAAACTCCATTCGTTACTCTTTTAAAAAAGTCTGTTTTACATTGCTCTGATACATATTCCAATATTGTACACACATGTGAGAATAATGTAAAGACATACCTGAAGCAACATACAAATAACAGAACATACTAAAATAGAAAAAAAAAACAAAACCAAGAGAAAACAAATATCTTAAGTCTGACATGGTCCTCACATATGTATACTGACAATCCATATAAAATAGTGCTTCTATACAAGAAAAAAATAAAAAATATACTCTTGTTTAAATAAAGAAAGAAATGCTCGATGCCACAAGAAAAATAGATTGCCTTCATCGGAATCAAAGTGTTAAATTACCTATTATCGTAATCTGAACTAGGTACTGACTACATTTGAGTATTGTCCAGTGGAGCCGAACCAACACGCTGCCAAGCATTCCTATCCTCAAGATAATCAATCACCCTGTAGTAAGCTTGTTTACATAATTCGCGCTTAATATATGTTTTAAATTTACTTTCATTGAGATCTAGTATGCTATTTGGTATTTTATTATAGCATTTAATACCTAACCCCATAAAGGATTTCTGTACCTTGGACAGTCTGAATTGCAGTACAGCTAAAACGAGTAGACGGATCACCTGATTGTAAGCAATCGGCGTCGCCCATGGACACCTGGAACACCAGAGGCGTTACAAGTGCGTTAGGATTAAGAGTTTGAGGATCGTTGGGGATTCAGGAATTTGGAGATTCGGGAAGGGGAGGGTAATTGGGCCTCCGGTAACCTCATTCACACGACGAAACACATTGCAAGCGTTGCTTCATGTCGGTTTTTTGAGAGGCCGTGGTATCACTCCGGTCGAGCCGGCCCATTCGTGCCGAAGCATGGCTGTCCCTCACACACCTTCAAACCTTCAATAAAAGAGTAAACCTTTTCTTAAAAGGCTGGCAACGCACTTTTGCCTCTGGTGTGGTGAGTGTCCATGGGTGACGCTAATTGCTTAACATCAGGTGATATTCCCATATTCTATTAAATGAGATAGACTGTCCGGCTAGGGGTCTCGGGTTCGATTCCAGGGTCAGGCAAAGTGTTACTGGGTTTTTAAAAAAAATCAGTAGTAGCATGGAGTCTGGAGTTGTGCCCGGTATATGGCAATAGGCTCACCCTCTATTACATGGGACTCATAACATAAATAGTGAAAAGTGGGTGTTGCATTGTACCTCTACAGTGGCATAATGTTCACCGATGCCTACCTCTTCGAGGATAAAAGGTGTAATGTTATGTGTATTAACTCGTTGAGTACCGGTTTTGTAGACACAATTATAGAACAATAGGTTGCGGTCACCGGTGACCGCTTGGTGTTTGACAGTTTAAATAAGAGGAGAGAGGATTTTAGTCAGTCATGTCGATAGTCAATATTAAACTAAATAATTGACACAACAGATAAATAATTGATACGACAGACTAACCCACAAAAATAACAGGATAATTTTAGACCATTATTGCGTGGAAAACCGAGAGAGGCTGTAACATATTACAGTATAATTAATTTTTATTCCAACAAAACAAACATTTCAAGTAGAAGATAAAATAATCTTGTATTTCGATTACCTGTTATTAAAAAAACTCAGAAAAACTTTAACATCAATTAAAATTGTGTTTATCATTGTTTGTAGTATTGTTGTATGTACATAATTATCTACATAAATGTGTCATGTCTACAATAAAGAAATTTATTATTGTTTTACGATTTTTTAATCTTATATTAATTTGCATAACAATGGCAAAGCATAATCGTTAATAATTTAATTGTTTTTGTTTAAAAAAAAATGCATTTATATCTGATAAGTTAATTTACTTTCATCCACTTGAAACTGGTCATCCACCTGAACCTTTTAAATTGAAATCCCCAACTTGTTAACCTGTCGAAAATTGTTGAAAATCATCCCCTAAATTTATTCACACAAAAGTAGTCTCTAAACATTGGAAATAAGGTCTATAATGTAGTTAGTGGACAGCGGTCACCGGTGACCGTTCAGGGATATATAACTTTCTTTTCTAGAGGATGTCTATAGTCCAACAATAGACTGTTAATAACTATTTAGAGCCATCAGACTACTATACATGGGGCCCAGTAGGGCTGATGTCAGACCTGAAGCAGCAGAGGACCTTAACGGGGTGGTTTTTACTCAGGAAGAGTCTGATGATTTTCCCCCTTAAAAATGGGCTACCATCCACATAATCGCAAGGCATTCGCACGCTTTATTCAATTGACGAATGCAAGAACGACTGCTTGCATCATGCGTAGCAGCGTAGAAATAATCAAAACTCTGACCACGATGCGACAACGTCAACGGAACGTTATGCGTTCTAATCACAAATATGCAATATTTACCAACGTCGTTTAAAGAAAGCGTGCATTCGTCAAATGACGCAACATGGACGGTAGGTAACCCTAATTCGCCGCGGAAGACTTAACGGGTTGCCGGGGCTCCGGCTCGAAGTGCAGGGGAGGAACGCGGTGGTTTTTAGTCAGTAAGAGTCTGACACTCCCTCCCGCCTCACCCGGGCGGGAGAAGTCATTGGATGATTTTTCCCCCTCAAAAAAAAAGGTAACCCTAATTCCATGAGATTAAAATAATCTCAGAGTTCTGTCATTTGTCTTTCTCTTTTTAGTGAAACATCTGTAAAAACTCACCTTCTCTGTCAATATAGTTTCGTTTTCTTCTGATATTCCTAATCCGAGAACAGTGATATCTCCAGGTATTAATACTATTTTGCCTAAATCACCTGGTCGCTTGTCCTTTAATCTATTGAAGAGCTGTAACAAAAAAAAATCATCAAAATAACAAACTATTAGTGGCTACACGCCAATGTTTATGCTATTCGTTTTTATGGTAATTTTGTTCTTCGATTGTTTGATTAACTTGAGGTTATGAAGTAATATCTCTTAGTATATTCCGAATCATCAGATTAGGACCAAAAGAGGTTTTAAAACTGGACTTTTAGAAAATCCGGTACCCCTTTTTAATCTAATGGTAGCTACCGTGGTGATTCAAGTGATGTAGTAATCTCAGACTATAATTTATTCTCCAAAAATTAGGTTTTTTTCTCCCCGTCACAAAAAACGGACCCAAAAAGGTTTTTTTATTATTAATAAATAAATTTTAGGTATTCCTCCACGGACTTGTGTCCGTGCCCTTGTCATATTACAGTTACATTGTTTACATGATCAAATTATTGTTATAAAGATCTTACATGCTACTCTAACCCATAAAGGTTTTATTACTCGTGCTTGTGATACTCACCGGGTCATCAACAATTTTCGTCAACCTCTCTCGGATAGATTGTCCTTTTTTCTCTCTGATCAGCATGTAGATCTTATCAATATCTGGGCAGCTGTACAGCAGTTTTTCAATAAATACCTGTACGAAAATACGTATTTTTTTTATTATATTCAGTATAAATATTTGGACCCGGGTAACTGTGACCAGCCACCGACTAATAGTACACCGGTGATCCAACTGCGATCCCAAGCAGCCTGCCAAGCGTGGGAATTGACATACCCCCCCCCCCCCCTTTAAGGGAGAGGCCTTTGTCTAGCAGTGGACGTCTTCCGGCCGTTGATGATAATGATCATGATGATAAATGGTTTAGTCATTATAATAATTTTATTATCCGTAAAATTTCAAAAAAAAATGTTAAATATAATATGTATAAAAAAAATTGCAACTAATTAATAGTGCTAATCTAAAAACGTTTAATAGGACGATTAAATAAGTTTTTAATCGTGCTATTTGCATTACTTTATTCGTAATTTACTGAACAATGTGCGTTAAAATTAATTACCCGTAAGGTAAAGGATACTTTAATTTTATACGATATAACTATGAATATCTGATTGATGTACAAGCTAAGACAATTTGGGCTTCATGGTTGGCATGGCGCCATGGCACGTGTAGCGGGTTCGATCATTGCACGAAGCACCCTTTGTGTGGTCTACAAATTATTGTTTCAGGTCTGGGTGTCATGTGTATGTGAACTTGTATGTTTGTAATTGCACCCACGACACAGGAGATATTCCTAGTATGGGGCAACGTTTTCTAAATAAAAAGGAGTTTTTTTTCATGACATGAGCTGGAAAACGAGCAGACGGATCTTCTGATGGTAAGCAATCGACGCCCATAGACACCTGGAGCACCAGAGGCAGTACAAGTGCGTTACTGGCCTTATGGGGATTAAGGGTTGGAGGATCGTTAGGGATTTAGGGATTGGGGAAATAGGGGAAAGGGAGGGGGGTACTTGGGCCTCCGATAACCACACTCACACGACGAAGCACATGTTTTTGAGGTTGTTGAGTTTGTTTGTGAAGCCGTGTATCACTCCGGACGAGCCGGCCTATTCGTGCCGAAGTATGGCTCTCCTACTAGGCTCGCTGCCAGTGCAGCGGTAAGTCCCCTCTTTGAGGAGTGGCTTGAGAGACGCTACGGCGTCCTCACCTACCGCCTGACGCAGGTCCTCACCGGACATGGAAGTTTCAGGAGGTACCTGTGTCTGATGGGGCGGGAGGAAACGCCCGTGTGTCATCACTGCGAGGACCGCCCTGAGGACACGGTGGAACACACAGTGAGAGAATGCCCTGCGTGGGCTGAGCACAGCCGTGCCCTCAGGAAAGTGATCGGCGATGGCGACCTCTTGCGTCCGGGCCTAGTGCAGGCCATGATGCGGAGAAGGGGGACTGGAATGCCGTCTCCTCCTTTTGTGAAGCAGTCATGCTAGCTAAGGAGGAGGCGGGACGCGTGAGGGAGCGAAATGCTGCCTCCTCGCAACCCACCCATCGCGAAGGACACACTGGGCGTCGGGGATCGCGAGACGATCTCCGGCCACCGTAAGCGCGGGCCTGCGGTCGGCAAGCATGGGTGGCTCCCCGTCCGACCAGAAACAGACCCGAGCGTACGGCGCGTCGCGTTCCGCGCTCGCCTCAAAGAGCCATCAGACCACCACAGATGGGGCCCAACAGGGCCGATGCCGATTCGGAGTCGCGGAGAACCTAACGGGTAACCGGGGCTCTGGCTCGACATGCAGGAGAACGAACGGGGTGGTTTTTAGTCAGTAAGAGTCTGACACTCGACTCGAATCGGAGCAGTCATTCGATGACTTTCACCCCTTAAAAAAAAAAAAGAAAATGGCTCTCCCACACATTTATGAGATATTATGTGTATAGGGCTTTATATATATACATTTTACATACCCTTAAGGGATTACAGGTACGAATGACGTCATATCTCTAAAGTACGTCATACAACATATATAAATATGTATAAGTATAAAACAAATTCCTATTGTATAAGTAAGTTACGGGTCTGACGAACTTGAATGGGTGTAAATTAAAAATTCATGAACCGATTTCCAAGTAATTCGTTGTAATATGTAAATAAATAACGTATAGTATACAGATTGTTATTATT